CTATTCCAAAATTAATTGTGTTTCTACACACTAGCAACAAACAATTGGATTTAATTTTGTTTTAAAAAAAACATTAATAATAGTATGCCCAAAATAAATAATTAGGTATAAATTAAATAAAATTTGTGCAGTGTCTGCATACTGAATTATACAAACACTGATAAAAAAAGGAAAGAGGATGTAAATAAATGAGCAACACCATGTTCATGAATCAGAACATTTGATATTGTTAAGATGTCAATTCTCTACTAATTGATCTAGAAATTCAATGCAGTTCCAATCAAAATCACATTTTTGGTAGATATCAATGACTTGTTTCTGAAATTTATATGAAAAGGCAAAGTAATAAGAAAAGCCAAAATGACAGTTATAAACGTCAAAGTTGGATGACTCATACAATGTGATTTGATAACTTACTGTAGAGCTATAGTAATCAAGGTGGTGCAATATTTGTATAGATCTACATACTGATAAACTGAACATAAAAGAGAGTCCAAAAATGACCTACAAATATGTTTAAATTGATTTTTGACAAAGAGCTAAATATTCAATGAAGAAAAGATAATCTTTCCAAAAATTTTGTTGAAACTATTAAATACTTATATGCCAAAATTAACCGTGACACATGGCTTGGTGTATACAAAAATTAACACAAAACCAGTCACAGACATAAATTCAACAACTACACATATAAATGTTCTAGAAAATAGACAAGAGAAAGTCTCTGTGACATTGACTTAGGCAGAGAGTTCTTAGATATAATATCAGATGCACAAACCATAAAAGAAAAAGTAACAAATCTAACTCTCTTGAAATTTAACTCTTTCTCTAAACAACACACAAATAAGCCAATTGAAGTCAAATCATAGGGTAGAGAAAAAAATATTTGTAAATCACATATCTGACCAAAAATTCAAATCCAAAATATAAAATTCTCAAAACTCAAAAAAAAAAAAAAAAAAAAAAAAAAACCAAAGAATCCAGCTAACAAATTAGCAAAAGATTTGGAGGTAGAATTTCCCAGAGTAAACAAATGCCAAAATGCATACAAAAAGCAAATGAAAAGCTAATCAGTATCATTAGTCATTAGTGAAATATAATTTAAGACCATAATAACACACCACTAAACATCTATTAAAGTGGCTATTTAAAATATAAGAAAAAACACCTAATATTTATCTCAAGTTCTAGCAAAAAGGTAGAGCAACTTGAACTCTCATACAATGCTGGTAGGAATGAAAGATATTATAGTCACTTTGTAAATCAGTCTGGCAGTTTCTTATGACTCAGCAATCCAACTCCTGGGTATTTACCCAAAAGAAATGAAAATATATGTTCACACAAAAACCTATATATAGATGTTTTATAGCAACTTTATCATGGTCATGGAGAACTGAAAACTATCCAAACTGTGCACAAACTGTAGAACTTTCATATAACGGAATCTTACTCAGAAGCAAAAAGTGACAACTACTAGAATGTATACAATAAGATGAACAAATTTTAAATGCATTATGCTAAGTAAAAGAAGCATCGAATGGCTACATATTATATAATCCATTTACATGACAATACGGAAAAGATGGAATTACACAGACCAAAACATGGCAGTGTTTGCTCAGTTCTAGGAAGGGCCTAAGGGGGGTTAGCAATAAAGGAGACTGATATCATGATATCATGATGCTGTTTTATACTTTTTTTTTTTAGACGAAGTCTCTGTTACCCAGGCTGGAGTGCAGCGGCATGATCTTGGCTCACTGCAGCCTCGGCCTCCCAGTTTTAAGCGATTCTCCTGCCTCAGCCTCCTGAGTAGCTGGGACTACAGGCATGTGCCATCATGCCCAGCTAATTTTTATATTTTTGATAGAGATGGGGTTTCATCATGTTGGCCAGGCTGGTGGGGTTTCACCATGTTGGCCAGGCTGGTCTCGAACTCCTTACCTCATGATCTGCCTGCCTCAGCCTCTCAAAGAGCTAAAATTACAGGTGTGAGCCACTGCGCCCGGCCCTGTTTTGTGTCTTGATTGTGGTAGTGTCTTTTCTTCCTGACAGCTTTTTGGATGTGCTTTTTAAACACGGTACTCTGCAACTTCCTGCTAATATCCCTTTATATGTAATCACTTTTTAGTCACATTGTTAGTATCCAGGGATCTGCACAATAGTATATTGGTTCTGGGATATTCTCTTGTCTTTTAAAAATGTTCTCCCTCTTCCTTTGGTTCTCTCTTTTGAAGCTCTTATTATTCAAGTATTAGACTTCCTGGATGTTTTCTACTATTTTTTCTCCTCTCTCCCTCTCTCTTTTAATCTTTGTGTTTCATTACACTTTCAGTGACATTCCCCTCATCTTTCTTCCAAAGTTTCAACTCAGCTTGTCACCCTTTTAATTCCATGAGGTTTTTTCCTCTTTAGTTATTTTTCAAAAATTATGCTGGTTCTGTTTTATGGTTAGAGAATCTTATTTTATCTGTCTGAGGTTACAATTTCTTTTTCCTCACCTGCATTGTTTCTGAATCTATCAAATCATTTATTTTGGTCCCCTTTTTATCTTTAAGAGTGATGCAGTAACAATAACAACAACAAAACAACAACAAAATGCTGACTAAAAGCTTTATAGGTAGGTGAACTTTGTTGATTGGCATACTCCCCTACTGGGTGATCAGGTGGCAAGCTGTTTTTGCTGTTAGGGATCCCTATATGCTGTTATCTGGAGGTATTTTATTTGGGGTTATTCATTTTTTTTCTAGAAAAGAATGTCTGGTTTCCTATCTGGGGGTGTTTATGACTTGTCTACTTGCTTTTGAGGGCAGAGCTGGGAACATTAGCTAAGAAGTCCACCATTCAGGTTGTAGTCTCACTTAATCACTGTTCTTACTTCCGCATTTCATCTCAGCTCCCCGATGCCTAGTAGCCTTCAGTTTCTCTAGAGAATAAATGTCTAATCTCCTGGTTGGTGGACTTCGCCATGTGGAGGAAGAGAAATAGACCCCTGGATGCACACTGAAGAGACAAGAGACCTGGGATTCCAAACACTTCTTTTTTAACACCTGCAGTTCACCCCATGATTTCAGCTTTACTTTACCCTCCCTTTTCTATTTACATCCTTGAAGCTTCTATAAATGCTCAGCCTCTCCAGTTCTCTGCAGTGGGGAAAAAAACAGCTTGTTTCCTGTCATTATTCTCTTTTGTCAACCAATATTTTGGTTGTAATTTTCTCCACTATTAAATCATTTGCCTCTTTCTGACAAACATTGCTTACAAAAACATGTTGCAATCCCTTTTCTGTTGTTGTCTCCTCTCTCACTTTCCTTGTTCTTGTTGTGTTACACTCTTTTTGATGTTTCTACCATCGATTTAATATATTTGGGTACAAGCAGTTTTTAACAGCAACTAAAAATATTTGTCCTCTGTTATTAAGTGCAATAATCTTCTTAAAGGAAAAAACATCCTAGCGATGCAGTCACATTTGTTCCATTTCTTATAAAGCTTAGACATTACTTTTTAGTTCTAAATAAATATGTAATATGGGGCATGTTCTGTTATGTCATTCACATGGGCTTGAGTCATGGGGATACCAGTGGACAAGAATTTGACAGCATCCACCTACCTAATTATAATTCTTCCTTGAGTTTTTTAAGACTGAACTCAAATGTCACATTTACCATGATGCCTTCACTGACAATTCTGGGTAGAGTTTGCTATTTCTCTTTACATTCTTCTTGCATATCATAAATCTCTATTACAGTATTTTTCACATTGTTCTATAAACATTTATTTCGGGGAATATCTTCCACAGTGGACTGAAACTTTGAAAATTTAGAATCATGTCTTATGCTCTTTTGTATTACTTTTACCTTCTATATTATTGTAGCCACAGATGTGTTTGCTAAAAGAATAAAGGTCTCTAATGCCCATTTAATATGACTATTTCCCTCCTGCATAGTGGACAATCCCGTAAACAGGTTGGGGGATATCTGTTGGAGGGATTATAAACTAATTAGCACATCAAAAATTAGATCAGTATCTATTATATATTTGATAGAAGATATACTCAAGGAGAAAAGATATGATTATTGCCATGAATAGCTAACAATCCAGTTGGTTGGGTTTTTCTAATTATTTTAACTATTGGTTGCGAAAACCAGTGCTAATTTTTTTTTTGAACTGATTTAAGATCTAGAAATTTCAATATGTCATACAGGAATCTTTCAGAATTGAAACATTTATAATAGACTGATTATTTCTGTGTGTGTGTGTGTGTGTGTGTGTGTGTGTGCGCGCGCGTGTGTGTGGTTTGTATGTATAGGTGGAGGATGATTCATTTGGCTTAAGCAAAAAGTATAATGTGGAAGCACTAAGATTTCTTTTCCCAGCCTCAACTTGATACAAATGGATGAACAATTTACCATCTTATTTTCAGCTTTGGAAACAACACCAAATATTATTATTATTATTATTGTTACTTATGAATTGTAAAGAGACTCACTTTCAAATTATGATCATTTCTCAGCTACAAAAGAATACAGAAAAATAAAGTGATTCTACCAAGAAGCTGACAAAATTGATAATGGATATCTAAATATCATCTGTCCTATTAATTTTACAGATTTCTAGCTTTAGGGTACTCTAACATATATAAATCATTTTTTTCCCAAAAAGATTAAGTTAGAAGGTAGTGATTACAATTAAGCTTTCATTTTGCTTCGCAAAAGGATTCACTAAAGGACACATTTAAATAAGGAGGCATGTATTTCAAGTATTTGTTTACAGATTACTAAACAAGAAACCTGAGGCTGGGCAATTAGGGAAATTAAAGACTACATGTCATTGGATGTCCAATGAAGATTAACATCTGTGAAATAATATCAAAAATTCGATTTACATGCATACTTATAGAAACCCATTAAATGTGATTGTCATGGCTGACAGGAGACCTCTAATTTTTATTTTTATTTCTTATGATCAGAGTTTCTTAGATTAACCGACACAAAATTTTGTACCTTGAAGTGATGCCACGAATTGTAGGTGTTGGTATATCACTTGGAGTATCTTCCACAGTGGTGATTTGGGTTCCATTGCTTTTCACACAGGCATATATTGTGCAGACTTCAACCTGCAAACATTCATTTAGAAGAGAATAAACACAACTATTTTTGAAATACGTACCAACAATAGTCTGAATCCCACATACTGTCATTTCACATGAATCTCTTATAGTTCTCTATAGCCTCTTGAGGTTTAATCAATATTCATTTTTGATGTTAATTCACTCCAAAAGAATGAGCTCAGAAGAGGATACAGAATTGGGATCAGGACAATTGATTTAGTTATGAGAATGGTGATGTTTAGTCTCTGGTTGCAAGTATTCAGAAAGAGAAAGATACATTAATCTGCTCAGAGCATAGTCAAGGAATGGAAGATGCCCAAGTGATAGTTTGCAAGCATAATAGGTTATCACTGCTTATTGTTCTCTAAATCTATAACTAAGTCATGTAATGATGATATCTTCTGGAAGTCTTGACACTGTAACAAATAGCCTAAATGCTAATGTCTAATGGAAGAAAAATGAGGCCTAGAGAAGCCTTCCAATATGGCTGAGCTATTTTGTATCCATTTGTTCCAGATGCAATTGTATTTTTACCTTAATCACAGCAGAAAATCATCATTCATCCCTTTAATTCTGCCACCTAATCTGAATAAAAACCGAGGAGGGTGGAATAACTGAAGATTAGAAATGGGGTTCATCAAGCATTAGTAACACAAAAGGAATGCATTAACCAAGAGGGAGGAGAGAGAAATGAATATACAAAAGACTGGGGACATCTACGAAGCAACATCATTCTGCTCTCAATTAAAGGATAAACCAAAGAGGAACTGTACTTTTTACAGTGTAATTTACTTTCAGCATCTAATACATAAATGGAGAAGCCAAGCTAGGTACTGATGAATCTTAAACACTAATTCTGAGCTTTTATGTGAAACAGTTCTCTGATTTTTCCTTTGGTGTTTGAGGAAAGGCAAATGGGATTCCTGTATTTACTAGAAATGCTATTTTATTCATAGGACACCTAAACGGTAGTTGAGCCATACATTCATAATGCTGTATGAGTTGTGTTACTTATTGATGCCATATAGTCTTTTGAGGTATTAGTGGATATTTAAACACTGTCAAGGGCCTACATTCTGAGCATGTCCAATTAAATCTGAAATAAAGGCAGATAAATTTAAAATATAATGCTGTAATACAATTAATGAAAATGAACTTTATACATATTGAAAAAATTTGATTATATGATACATAATGAGGTAACTCAGAATCAATTCAAGTGAATTTATTATATATCTAATACGTGTCAAGTATTATAATGGATACTTGCACAAATAAGTATTGATTCCTCATAACTCCATTTAAACAAATTTGCAGAGAAACCAGGGAATATGATCAAGCTGGTAAGATTTGGGATATCTGAGTTGGTCTCCATTGTACCCTATTGCCTTCTCGTTTAAATACTAACATAATTGTAAGCTCTAAACTACTTGGGCATATTCAAATGTTTCTCCAGAAAACATTTCTTTTGATTCATTGGTCAAAGGAAAATGACCAATGACTACTGGTTGTAGCCAGATGATTATATATACTTTAACCTCAAATGTTAGAGAAATGTGCCAATATTTTTGTATTCCTAATGTTAATATTCCAAATCTCCATTTTGGGACCTATTTCTAGTGCTGTAACGATACTGTGTAACATGTGAATGAAACACAAATATAAGGCTTACTATATTTACATTAAAAAGAGATTACACTGAGTAAAATGAAATTATTATTTCTTTTTAAAAGGGACATGTAAAGGGATTATTCAAAAAGTAGATACTTGGCCAGGTGCAGTGTTGGTAATCTCAGCACTCTGGGAAGCTGAGGTGGGTGGATCACCTGAAGTCAGGAGTTTGAGACCAGCTTAGCCAACATGGCAAAACCGTGTCTGTACTAAAAATACAAAACAAAATTAAGCAGGTGTGGTGGTGGGCACCTGTAATCCCAGCTATTTGGGAGGCTGAGGCACAAGAATCACTTGACCCCTGGAGGCAGACGTTGCAGTGAGTCAAGATCGTGTCATTGCACTCCAACCTTGGTGACAAGAGTGAGACTCCACCTAAAAAAAAAAGTAGCTACTTGGGTGTGTTATGTACTTTAAAATCAATAGCTATTTTACAGATGGGGTTATCATGGAAAACCTCGATTCTAAGGTATTAGGCATGCCAATTAAATGCTTATTTTAAATCAAACCAAATCACTTTTGACATCCTAATGAAAATCACTGTAATCTGATGTTCAGGTTTCCAGAAGTGCAACAGCTGTATCAAGTACAGTATTCTTGGACTGCAAAAAGCATCACAAAAATATAATAATCGGGAATAAGAGCCTCTTAGTCACTAATAACAAAATTCATTACTGGATCCTACATTGGTCTTTGTATCTTCATCTGTTTCCACTCTCTTCAGTCTACCAGATGAGGAAGCTTCATTTATACCTACTGGCTTGAGTTACTTATGCCTGACTCAAACCAGTAGTAGTGTAAATTAAGCCTTCCTCATAGAACAGGACTGAAACACTTTTAAACCTCAACTCTTGCTCCAGAGTAAGAAAGCTGAGCTGCACATACATGCACAGCATATAGTGTTCTCACCCCTAGGTTGTGTTTCGAGTTTTGATAAAGCAAATGAATAAGGTGACTTTTGAAAACTCAGCTTTCTTGAATAGGGGTCAAAAGAAGACAATACAGCAAATCCTCCATCACTTTCCTATGTTAGTCTTTTTTATATAGCTATATTTGTAATGTATGAGGAGCAGGATTTTTATTTTATAATTTGGCCTATGGCCTACCTGCATACATGGACTCACTGTAAGAATTACGAACATAAATATCAGTCCACATATGCTAAGACAACTCAGGTAGGTTATGGGAATCATGGTGTGCAATGAAAACAAACCACTGCTCAAGGAAATCAGAGATGATACAAACAAATGAAAAAATATTCTATTCTCATTGATAGGAAGAATCAATATAATGATAATGGCCATGCTTATTTTAAATAAAACCAAATCACCTTTATAATCATAATGAAAATCACCAAAATCTGATGATCAAATTTCCAGAAATGCAAAAGCTATATCAAGTACAGTATTCTTGGACTACAAAAAGCTTCACAAAAATATAGTAATCAGGAATAAGAACCTCTAACAACAAAATTCAATTATTGGATTCTACTTTGGTCTTCTGTATTTTTATCTGTTTCTATTATCTTTTGCAAGAAAACAAAAACATTAAAAAGTGGGCAAAAGACATGAACAGACACTTCTCAAAAGAAGACATTTATGTGTCCAATAAACACATGAAAAAGAACTCAACATCACTGATCATTAGCAAATCAAAACCACAATGAGATACCATTTCATGCCAATCAGAATGGTGATTATTAAAAAGTCAAGAAACAACAGATACTGGCAAAGCTGTGGAGAAATAGAAACACCCAAAGTAATTAATTGCCCAAAGTAAAATAGATTCAATGCTATTTCCATTAAACTACCATTGACATTCTTCACAGAATTAGAAAAAAACTACTTTAAAATTCATATTTTATGAACCAAAAAAAGGTCCATATAATCAAGACAATTCTAGGCAAAAAGAACAAAGCTGAAGACATCAAACTACCTGACTTTAGACTATACTACAAGGCTATAGTAACTGAAACAGGATGGTACCAGTACAAAAACAGATACATAGACCAATGGAATGGAATAAGACTCAGAAATAAGACTGCACATCTACCACCATCTGATCTTTGACAAACCTAACAAAAACAAGCAATGGGGAAAAGATACCCTGTTTAATAAATGGTACTGGAAAAACTGACTAGCCATATGCAGAAAATTGAAACTGGGCCCCTTCCTTACATCTTATACAAAAATTAACTCAAGATGGATTAAAGACCTAAATGTAAAACCCAAAACTATAAAAATCCTAGAAGAAAACCTGGGCAGTACCATTCAGGACATAGCCACTGGCAAATATTTTATGACAAAATGTCAAAAACAATTGCAACAAAAGCAATAATTGACAAGTGGTATTTAATTAAACTGAAGAGCTTCTGCATAGCAAAAGAAACTATCATCAGAGTGAACAGACAACCTACAGAATAGGAGAATATTTTTGCAATTCATCCATTTGACAAAACTCTAAGAAAAAAACAACCCCATTAAAAAGTGAGCTAAGGATATGAACAGGCAAGTCACAAAAAAAGACAGTTATGCAGCCAACAAATACATGAAAAAGAGCTCAACATCACTAATCATTAGAGAAATGCAAATCAAAACCACAGTGAGATATCACTTCATGTCAGTCAGAATGGTGATTATTAAAACGTCAAGAAACAACAGATGCTGACAAAGCTGTGGAGAAATAGAAAGGTTTTTACACTGTTGGTGGGAATGTAATTTAGTTCAACTGTTGTGAAAGACAGTGTGACAGTTCCTCAAAGACCTAGGACCTTTTGACCCAGAAATTTCATTATTGGGTATATACCCAAAGGAATACAAATCATTCTATTATAAAGATACACGCACACGTATGTTCACTGCAGCACTATTCACAATAGCAAAGACAGGAAATCAACCCAATGTCCATCAATTATAGACTGGATAAAGAAAATGTGGTATATGTACACCATGGAATACTATGCAGCCATAAAAAAGAATGAGTTCATGTCCTTTGCAGGAACATGGATGAAGCTGGAAACCATCATGCTCAGCAAACTAACACAGGAACAGAAAACCAAATACCGTATGTTCTCACTTATAAGTAGGAGATGTACAGTGAGAACACATGGACACAGTGAGGGAAACAACACACACTGGGGCATGTTGGGGGGTATGGGGGGAGGGAGAACATCAGAACAAACAGCTAATAATGCATGTGGAGCTTAATACCTGGGAGATGGGTTGATAGATGCAGCAAACCACCATGGCACACGTTTACCAATGTAACAAACCTGCATGTCTTGCACATATGTACCGGAACTTAAAATGAAATAAATTTAAATTTTAAAAAAGAAAGAAAAAGAATTAATGTACCTTTCTTTTTTGTTCAAAGATATTTTTATTTGGTTTTCTTAGGAAGCTAGGCCTAAGGGTCACAGTAGGGGAGACTAAAGTATTGGTTGCAGCCAGATGATTATGTATGTCTTAACCTCAAATTCAGGAAAAGGAGATGGAAACTTCAATGAGGTCGTACTACTGAATGGATAGAGCCAGTGAAAAGTTTCTGTGGCCAAATAAAATTTCTGTGCTTAATATCTCATGAAAATTATTTTATGAAGCGCTTATGAATTTTAGACATAGCATAGTTCATTTAAAAATTTACTAAATTGCAAGCCTTCTCTAAATGCGGGGTTTCTGAAATAGTCACTCATTTGCACATGTAGCCTTGCTATCTTCTGTATCTTAGTACTCCAACAAGATTTCCAGTTCCATGAAGATAATTCGTTTACATGCTAAGGCATATAAAATAAGGAATTATCTTCAAGGAAGGAAAGTAAGGAAGTTTTATATGCCTTAGTATTCCCTATATTTTTTCTACTTTTAAGGCCAATAGCCCCTGAAGAAGTCTATGAGTTTGACTTCAAGTGATCAATGTACTTTCTGAAATTGCATGTTAAATTTTGTCATAAAGGTGCATAAATATTTTTCTAAGGCAGAGTACACTGACTTCATAAGATTCTTAAAGACGTCCAAGGGCAAAAAGTTTAACTACAACTGCTCTCACATATGTGGGGATCACTGAACATTTTTTGAGTGATGAATATATTTCTTTCATTGTCAGATAAAATCTTTTAATATTTTTTGTCTGCTATATTTTTTATTTATGTTTTCCTGTTGCATTCAGAATCACAGAATGCTGGAGGTGGCTAGGATGTTTTAAGTCATCTAGTCCATTGCCCCTACAAAGAAGAAAATCGACACCAAGTGAAGTTTCATAACTTCCCTGGAAATATTAAATTAGTAAATAGGAGAAATGGGAAGAAAAAGAACATCTCCACATTTATAAGCTGATTCTGATTTTGATTTCAGTAACAGATCCAGGGAAAAGATAAACTGCTCAGCAAGATTTATTTAGAATACATGGTTAGCTTCATTTTGCCAGTGAGAATTTCATCACCATCCTCATCACCATCGTTTTTCATATTATCATTATCTTCTCTCCAGAGACTCACATGGTTGCCTACAGCACACAGATTTAATTCTGATCAATTTCCCTTCTCTCTTTTCCTTTCCCCACCAAATAAATAATCTGTAACCAAGACAGAAGGTATCCACTTGAAGACATAGCCTGGCATGTTTTATTTAACATATCCATAAGCCTAACCGTCAAAAAACAATGTTCTAACCTGAATGTCATAGATAGTGAGGGGAGACAGGTCTCTCAGAATAAACGACCCAGGCACATTCATTCCAGTCTTGTAGAGCTTATTATTTACATAGATAGAATACTCAGTGACAACACCATTTGGGTTTGAAGGAGATGTCCAGATGACACGTACAGCTGTACTGTTGATGATGACAACCTCTGGAGGAAGCACGCCCTGAGGCTCTAGAATTAAATGAAGAAACTGAATAAACTCCAGCTGTCTCTGAAAAAGCACATGTTAAACTAAATGCAGATTCGTATTTAGGTTTAGCAAAGGGTTCGTTGCTTATCTGCATTTCTCTGATGACGTTATCACAGTCTGTAGTCCTCTGTAAATTGGCTTATTATACTCTCAGTTAGAAACCGTAAGACTTGGTGGTAAAACGCTTTATACCACCAACATAGTGCTAATCTTCAATACTATGTGACCAGTGGGATGCGATGATAAATTATTCACCCATCTGCACCACTAACACATATCTGTTTTTTGTCTTTTTTCCAGCCCTTCGCTCTATACCTTCAAGGTGCCGGGGAGGGAGGGAAGGAAACAAAATTTGCTCCTTAAGCAAAAAATAAAACTCAAATACAACAAGGCTGGTGGAACGTGAAAAATCATTTGATGTTACTAGCTTGTAACTCAAGCAATATGAAGCAATAATGCAATATTGTCATTATGTAAATGATTTTGAATGTTGATTACCATAGGTAATGATGAAATCTAACATAAGAAAAAAATCTTGCTTAGCGTTAAATTACATAATTATTCAAGCATGTCAGAAATAAGTATGCAAAGACCTATTTTTATCATAAGAACCCATCTTAACTAGTTGAAGAATTGTCCTTGTGATCTACCTATTTTATAAACAAAAGGTGCCGACCTTTGGCACCACAAAGGGAAATGGGTTCCACACTTAAAGAGCTCTGCTAATGACCTGGAACACTTGCTTGGGAGGTAATGATATTATAATGTTTATAATGAGACTTTATAAAGCCAAAAAGATTAGAAAGATCATTCCAAACACATTTCTGATTCACAAGTTGCTTCCCTTGCTTCCTCTCCCTTGCTAACTGGCTTAGAAATGAGTCATAGGCAATTTTTCTCCGTGGCTGAACTTCCACCTACCATTTCTGGTGACTCAGGGAGGGCCCTCGCTGTGTTTAGCTGTCGTTTTGAAAAACATACTGCTTCTGAGGGCAAATCTTAAAAAAAAATGTTTCTAAATGTCACGGTGTATTGATGCAAACTCAGCTCTAAAATAAGTATACACTGAAAAGAACAGGAACAAACTGGGCTAATATCTCATTATTAGAGCTTGTGCTGCTGTTTCAATGGGACTGCTTATTGATCTGCTACTGACGACAGTGAGCACTTAAGCATTTTAGCCCCCACCCCCTTCCCTCCTGCGCCGGAAATTTTATAATGGAGGGATGACTGATCTCAACCCCGGCAGAATCAATCAATTTCATTAGAATCTCTGAAGCAAAACATCCCTTAGAATCTGGACTCACCGCCATCATCAGTGGTTGCATGAAGTCCTGCACTGTTGATGCTGTGGACTCCATTGAAGACAGAGATAAAGATCCAATACTCTGTGTTTGGCTTTAGGTGTCCAATGACATGAGAGTTCACATCGGGCAAGATCTTTAGAGACTCATTTGAGGTAGCAGAACTCCAAAAAAGTGTATAATATTCAACTTCACCTTGTAGGTCTTGAAAAGCTGTCAACAATAAATGCAGGACATGGTGAATGTATCTGAGGGTCTCAGAGGAAAAAAATAAATTCTATCAGCTTTCTAGAATGGAAAAAAAGGAAGCTTAGGGAGTCTTTGTTTTGAAAATGTTAAAAAAAGCTTATGGAATCTTCTTTTTGGTGGCGCTAGTGGTGACAGTTTTATTTTATTTATTTATTTATGAGACAGAGTTGCTCTCTGTCAGCCAGGCTGGACTGCAGTGGTGCAATGTTGTTTCACTGCAGCCCTGACCTCTTGGGTTCAAGTGATCCTCCTGCTTCGGCCTTCCAAGTAGCTGGGACTGCAGGCTCAGGCCATCACAACTGGCTAATTTGTGTAAGTTTTTGTAGACACAGGGTGTTACGTTTCCCAGGCTGGTCTCAAACTTCTGGCCTCAAGCGATTCTCCCACTATGGCCTCCCAAAGTGCTGGGAGGTGTGAACCACTGCACCCAGGCAGTTTTTATTTTTTAATAATTTGCATTTTTCCAAATCCCATAATTAATTACAGTCTTATATAGGAATATGAGTCTTATAAAACAAAGTTTTAACTTCTTAAATTTCCTTTAAATATTTTAACTTTGCTACTTATAATTATTCAATGAATCATCAGAACTTTCACATAATACTGATGAAAGGAAACCAAGACTGAAATAAAAGTATACCATACACGGAACAACTTCTGCTCATAAGAAACATAATCCCAGAGAGAAGACTAGGCTAATACAAAAAAGGGCGTTTCCTGACACAGATCCTAGAGGCATTTTTTAACTTGCTAACAACATTTGCTAAATGATACCTAGAAGGATGCTTAGATAGATATCCTTTTATGTACATTGTCACTGTAGCAGGGCTACACAGCATGCTCCTCTTAAGGACTGGCTCAAGGTAATACTTAAATTTTTATCAAAGCTCTCATCCTTCTCTTCTAGTTTGATGTGTTTCTATAATGTAGACAAGCTTTTTAAAAGATACCAATATTAATCACTAATTGTTCTGCAAATATAACTCATCAATTCTTCAACCCTTATCCTTTCAAGTCCAGTCTATTATTTTTTCCTCCTCTTCCTCCCAATTTCTCTATTCTTTGCTCTAGGCTCTGCTTCTCATTATCTGCCCATGATGATTCTTTAATAAGAGGACATGAAAACAGCCATATTTTCTTAGGTAGGAAGTAGTATACTGCTCTACTTACATCAGTGTTATTTTCATAGACTTTAAACAGAAACAATTACCTTTGTTTGTTAGGATGTGGGTGGAGTGTTGGTTTATAAGCTTTCTGAAATTGCATGTCAAATTATATATCAAAAAATACTCAGGCTGGGCACCGTGGCTCACACCTGTAATCCCAGCACTTTAGGAGGCTGAGACAAGAAGATCACTTGAGCTCAGGAGTTCGAGACCAGGCTGGGAAACATGCCCAATACCCCATCTCTACATGAAATATAAAAACTAACCAGGCATGATGGCACACACCTGTAGTCCCTGCTGTTCAGGAAGCTGAGGCAGTAGGATGGCTTGAGCCCAGGAGGCAGAAGTTATGGTGAGCTGAGATCATGTCACTGTACTCCAGGCTGGACAACAGAATGAGACCATGTCTCAGGAAAAAAAAAAAAAAATCAACAGCACTAGTCCAAGGATTGGAAGGAAAAAGTGGCATTTCTCTGCATTTGTCTTTATGGTTATTGACATCTTATTTCATTAATATGTGAGATCCCAGTATATGGCCATATAAAGTAATATAGCTTTGAGAACAGTATATTTCTTGTAAGGATCCCTTTACATTAAAGTCTTGGTGATTTTGCGTAAAAAGTGAATGCTAGGTTTTTCTTTTTGTTTTTCCTAAACACACTACTGCTTTCACTTTAGCTCTAGAAACAGTTAAAAAGGTACGATGTGCCAGTGTAGCTGGAAGAGTTTGTATTTGAAGACCTTTAGCAATCAATTTGGAAAACTATGGGTTTTGCAATGTTTATTTCCTCTGATGTCACAAAAATGTAAGCACATGCAATAATGAGGTCATTATTGATCACTGGCAGGAACTGACTCTTCAAAACCCTTAAAATTTTCCTGAATGATAATATTCATCAAGTACAGGAAAGCCATGGGTGTAATGAGTGCAAACACTTTTTCTGTTACTAGAATCATTTTCTACTGGCTTACAGCATTATTTATTACTTATTAATTTTTGGCTGCTATGGTATAATGCAAAGTGTACTACATTTGTAGTTTATATTGTATTTTAGTTTATTAAGTGAGCAGCTGATTATAAAGTCAAGTCCTGAAGATATAATATTAATGAAATGCTTCAAACTTTACTTACATATATAAATTGATTTTACTTGGGTTATTAAATGTGCCTGTTATCTGCACTATCAAGTTCCAATTAATATATCTATATATATTAATTTAAATACATTTATTTTAAATTAATATACATTAATTTAAATACATTAAATATATTGCCACTAGCATGAGTTCAAGATGAGCAAAGATCATATGTCAAATGTCTGGATAAGATCCCATTGAATGTCCATTCTTAGCCATGCATTGTATGTCAACCCCTTTGAAACAGAACAGAACCTATTGTCCCAAAGACAACAGGAAAAGGCGGTATACCATTCCACTGTTTATGTCATACTGCATGACATAGAGGCTCTTGAGATCAGAAACAGGCAGCATTTCTGGGTAACAAGAATGCTGTAATTCTCACTCTTTCTATCATTTGCTTCAACATTTGTTTCTCCACTCATGTGGATGTTACACTTGGGAGTCCAAAACATAAAATATGTAGAAACATATACAACTTTATACATATTCCTAGTCATCACATGAGAAGTTCTGTGAGCAATACATGCATAGGAGCATGCTTTTTCATTGCTTAAATAAGGTCTTTAAACTTCAATGCGTTCTTCTTAAGTCAGTGAACCATCTAAGAAACAGAAGATACATACTCTGTTCAATAGACCAACACAAAATTAAAGGCTGATGACCTTGATTTTACCTCTGAGACACAAAGGCTATTAACAAGGAAACAGCTGGAATGAAGAGGCAAGTAAATTTCAACCTCCCTCTCTATTGAGAAAAGCTGGACCTGAATGTATCTCTCCTTTTTTAAACAGGGAAACATAAGTTACAAGGCTTCTTCCTACCATAAGACAAGGGAAATCTTGTCTAGAGCCTTCAAAGGCAGAATTTTTGTGTATATTACTTCTATGAGAATGGGATGGAGGTTTTATAAAATATTTGCATGCACACCCAAAAACAAAAAAGGGACATGACTTTAAGAAAAAGAGCCTCTATGAAATAGGGTTTTGGAATCATAAAAAGACAGCCACAAAGACAGAGATGTAAAGGCATCTGCCGTAAATAGGAAGGGAAAGAAAGGAAACATGTAAAGAAATGGCAGAATTAAAATGTACGTTGAAAGCAGAAATGAGTAGAGTTAAAAATGTACAGTATCAAAGAATAAACAGGAAAATGACAAGGAAATCAGTGAAAGTCAAAATTACAGACATTGAGAACAGAAAAAATCTAATTACCTTAAAAAATAAATGCAATAAATAACCATGGATATGAAATGCCCCATTAAACCCTACCCAAAATGACTTATGTCTACAAATAGTATACATCTACAACATGACTTATGTCTACAAATAATATAGTTTTCTACAAAATAATCACAGTATATCCAAAGATAGACATATCACGGAATATTACAATATTTTAAAGGTAAACTAAAAATTAGGAACATTTATAAAGGAAAAAAAATCAGATAAGCTTCAAACTTCTTACGTGGAATGTCAAACATTGAAAGACAATGCAACAATTTCAACAAGTTTTGAGGGGAAATAGTTTGGTCCAAGAATTTTATACACATTTAAATGAGTACTCATATGTCAAAACAACAGAAATTCTTTCTTATTTAGGCAAAAGTTAAGAGAATGTGCAATGATAACAGAAATACTTTCTTGTATCAGTCAACATTTAGAGAACATACAACTAATTAATTGATTCCTTTAAAGTTTCATGATAAAACTATCTAATAATCTTCAGAAGACAGAAAGATTAACTAAGATCCAGAACTCAAGGTTGGGAAAGTTTAAGAATTGCTGATAAGTGTTGAAGCTATTTAGAGAAAATAGTTGTGTAAAAATTTATATCATAACAATAATAAACCAACCAATGAAAACAGCAAATGAGAAAGGCAAGAAAAGTGACAGTACATTCAGTTCTTTATTATACATAAAATAGAATGGCATGGAAAAACAGAGAAAAACATTACTAGCCACTAATATCACTGATACTATTTAAACTTTAAAATGTATTACAGAAGATAAAAGCTGTCTTCTGTAATCTTAAGGCAAAGATCTCTGGAACTCTTCAATGCCAACATTTCTCTCTTCTTGTCAAATAATTGAAGTACATTTTCTGGACCCCATGCATCTGAACTGAGATGTGAAGGAGCAATTGGCCATCTCTGACGGTCTAGCTTTCCCATCTCAGGTAGGACTCTAAGGCCCCAAGGAATGGTGGATTCACTACATGGAAGAAGCCTGTCTTTAACTGACCCACAAGAGTTTTAAAAGGGCAACACAAAAAAAGTGGGGGACTTCAATACTCCACTGACAGTATTAGACAGGTCATCAAGACAGGAAGTCAACAAAGAAATAACGGACTTAAACTATGCCCTAGAACAAATAGACTTAGTAGATATTTATAAAACATTCTACTCCAAAACTGCAGGATATACATTCTATTCATCAGCACATGGAACATTTTCTGATAGTCCATATGATAAGCCACAAAATGAGTCTCAACAAATTTAAGAAAAATAAAATTATATCAAGTACTCTTTTAGATCACAATGGAATGAAACTGGAAATTGACTCCAATAAGAACCCTCAAAAAATTATGCAAATGCATGGAAGTTAAATAATCTGCTTCTGAATGATCACTGGGTCAACAATGAAATCAAGATGAAAATTA